TGTGTGGCACTTTTTTTAGTAAGTGGGGATTGGATCTATTTCCATGAGATTTTGTCCAAAGTTGTTCTAGGAAGCGTTTAGTTCTGAAGAGACCACTCATTGACCACATCTACAGAAATCTGTGTCATAGATACCTTTGTATCCTTTGATTCCTTTGTAAACCTTCTGAGGCTTCTTCAACTGCACAGTAAAGAAATCACTCTTAAGATTTTTCATTGGACTTAAAAAAATATAGTGAAGTTGTACACCCTCAAAGAAAATGCCAGTTAGCCATTTTATTCTCAGATTGTTTTTATACTCAAAGCTAAAAGAACAAACTAACAAAACTAAATATGTAACTTGGCATAAGCAGAAGAGGGTTCAGTGATTCTAAGAGCAGCACAAATGAATGTATTAAAATAAATGACTAATGAAATGATTCATCTTACCAATATCTTTGCTTTGGATTTGCACAAGAGGTTGTCGTTTTTTTCCAGATGCTGAAAACTTCTGCAAAGCTTTACAGTGAGCATGAAAAATTTCATCTCTAGGGACATGTGCTCTAATTAATAAATTATATGCCCATGGGTTTACCAGCCCTTTCACCTATCTATTCATTTTGTTAATATTATCCTTTTGACAAAAAACACACTTTGGATGCTGTACAGAGGAAAAGTAAGAGACTTACTAGAATCTTAACCTAGCCCTCACGTATCCTTCCATTACAGAATCAATAAAAAGGGTTAAAAAATTTTCCAATATGGAAGGAGTGGTCCCATACTTTTTAAATATTATGCATTTAAGATACAAAGGTCACGTTCTTTTAGAGTTTTAAATGCTGAGGTCAGAGTTTTAAAATTTAAAATTTCAATATCCATGTCCCATCAGATTTTGTAGAAGTGAGGTAAAAGACTTACTATAGGATTTACTTGTCAATTAGTCTATGAACTCTCATTCTGTCACAGCACCAAGCACATTTTAAAAAACAGAATCATTGGTTTTTTAGGAATACTAAAATCAGGAAGATTAAATTCCTATATCAAAGATACAATTTTATGGTCCAACAAAGTTATAACATATCTGTGTGCTATTTAAACCATACACATATAACTAAATGAATTACACAGAATTTAGAAGGACCTTATTTTGACTCCAAATCTTGTTCTAGTTGAGCTAAGAGAATATTTTTTCAAATAACACAGGGAAGAATAGGATCTCTATTCTTACTCTACAGAGGGGGTTATTCCAGGCTGACATTTATAGCCTCAATGGGTTCTTTTTAGATAGGCCAGACCAGTCAAGGATGCTTGGGTTTTTTTACTCAAGGTATATTATTTTCAATTTCACTGTGTGTAAATTTAACTAAGGAAGAAAAATTAAACATTAGTTAGGAAATCAGATTCTTATGAGAAGCTTTCAAGAACAATGTAGAAACTCCTAATGAAATATCCTTGCAATCCCAACTAGAGAGCTAGTACAAATTCATGCACAATTGAAAATCATCTTCTATAAATATGGTACTCTATGAAATCAGTGGGATCCAATTAGTTGTGTGTGTGTCTTCTGTTTCCAATGTTAAGACAGCCAAAAATCTACCAGATGGGGATGTTTTTCAAGGATTTTTTTAAGAGCTCCTATATATTTACACACACAACTAAATGGGCTTGATTATTTGTGTATACTAATAACTATCTCCATATATAATTACGCAGGACTGCAAATTGTGACATTAATGCTCATTATACAAAGATTTAATGTGTAGATCAACTCCATTATCAGGCCAAATTCAGAAAGGTAATCTGAAATGGTCAGATTTGACTTGACAGTAACCACAAACATATCCCCACAGTAAATATTGGAACTCATACATAAAAGTAAAAATTTCTGGAGCCTATTAACAGATAGTCTTATTAAGTTATTCTTATTAAGTTACCACAGTTGCTTAAAAAAAAATAGCCAAATGACTATTTTTCAAATGCAAAATTAAGAAACTAAGAATGTGAAATTTCATAAAGTATTTTGCACTGTTCTGATGCTAAAATGCCTTGTGCTTCAAGTGGGATTTTTGCAGGTCATCATTACTTTATAATGCAAACCAACACCTTTGGGTATTTTTAAAGGAAAATGAAGGTGGGAGGAAAACAAGCTGAGTTGTTTTGTTTACATCAGCATAGGAAACTGCATTTTTAAGCATTTGACTCAGCTAAAGCTCCACTTTTTATATGGTTTTAGTGGCATATGCTATAGTGACAACAAAAGTGACTGAAATACACGCTGAGGCTTTTTGCAGGTAGCATCATGATATGCAGCATGCTTCTAAAATAGGACCTATCCCCAGTATATCAATCATACATAAAGAAGACCAGAACCTAATTTTCAGTCCTCATATCTCATCCCCCAGTGTCTCCTTTCTCTTCTATTTTTTATTGGGAGGAGACAGAAGGTTGCCACAAGATTATTTCTATGGCAGCTTCCACTCCCACACTGTTTTTTTGCTCAGTGCCTGTGACTCACAGTTCTGCCTGAAGGACAAGGACAGGACAGACTTCTGAGTGCCAATCAATGGAGCATGCCACATGCTGTAATTGAAAAATACAGTGCTTCTGCAATAAGATGAGGACATCATTTTTAGTGCAAAGCTGTGGTAAAGAGAATTTTAAGTGAGTAATATGTAGCTTGCATTTATTTTTATGGCACCTGACTTAATATGGCCAAAAGAAATGAACCTGAGCTACAGAATTTGGATCCAGATCCGAAATGCCTGTAATTCAGCAATGCTCAGATGAAGGTTAAGCCCCACCTTTTATTTCATCCGCAGAGCAAGAGACCTTTTCAGCGTAATCATCCTAATCTGATGTCCTGATGCGTCTTCATCCAAGTTATCTGTTAGCTTGGCACACATGACTACACAGCACAGCAAGCCAGTGTTAGTAAATCTGTGAAAGCATCCAAATTGCACATCTCTAATTTTTTGACATCTCATACTATTAAGTACTTTCCTTAGGCTCTTCTTCTTTTATGGAATCTTGTCTAGCAAAACAATGCAGGACATACTTAAGAAAAGCCTATCTTTCCAAGTAGTGCAGGCTCCCCCAGCTCCCTAAAGCAAGTAAAACATGTTTGAACACCTGTAGAGACCTACCTTAGCAGTCTGTGAACCAAGCTAAGGAAAGTTATCCTTAGGGATCCCACTGCTGACAGAAGAAACAAAAGCATCACAAGGATTTGCCTAAGGTCACAAAGCAAGGAAGTAGCAGAACAACACTAAATACTACTGCTTCTCTTTTTACCTTCCCTTCTGGCTGCAATTTCTAATGGGAGATTTGGGAAGTTACATACCTTTCAAAAGATAAGTGAATGTATTTAGAAACTCTTCATATGACTGCTCATGGCTATTAATAAATTGATCAAGGATGCTCTTGTTTAACAGCTGTTCTCCCATGATCCACACCTTGACAGTCAAACAGGTGTATCTGCTTTAGTAGGCTGCTTCTGCAATAGAAAGAAAAGAGCCATATGTCCCTGTAGGCAGAAAACAAATTAACTGAAGAGTCCCTAATTGACATAGATGAGCACCAGAATGTCATACTTTTCTTCTCTCCTTGTGAAGTTCTGACTGTGTCAGTGAGCCTTTATACAACATCTCCCCCAAAATTCAAGTGGACTTAGTAATTTTAAGTTCAAAGGGAGAGACTGTGATCATCTATGCCTGAAATTTATGTCCTCAGGCAATATGGGCCACTGAAGTGCCAACCTATCTCAGCAGTGTTCATTCCCCCTCATTTTAAGTTGTTCAGTCTTACAACCCCTGTCCTCTTTGCAGAAACAGTGACACCACTCACTAGCATGTGGATTGAACAACTGGGACACCTGTACATTCAAAACTTGGACTGAATCCATCATTCTGCAGGTGCACTGCTCACTGTACCATCAAAGTCACTAAACCCAGATTTTGGAGGGCATGTTAAATCATGATGAGATATGTGTGTATGCTGTGACAGCACACAGGACAGGGAGGTCATGATGGAACTGGGCAGCCACATAGGAAGGCAAGGACCACTCTCAAGAAAGGAACAAATGCTGAGAACTGAAGGATCCCCATAGAGGCTTCTCTGTACTTGAAAGCTCCACTTTTCAGTCACACAGCAACAGCTTTCCAGCCCCTCTTCATCACTTTACCAGACTCTAAGGGAGGTAATGGCCCTGAAACAGCTCTTGGTGAAGTAAGCTGAAGTTAACCTTGCCTCACACTTATAAAAGCTCTGTAAATGCATTTTGACAGTTGTGTGATGCTAAATAGTTAATAGTATTACTGATTTTTTATACACATAGGACAAGACTATTAGAAGCAGAAAAATACAGGTGAGGCATGGACACACATAACTGGCACATTTTCTCACAACTTAACTAAAAAATGTAAATGACCAGTTTGCATACATAAATGTAATAAAGATGCAAGAATGCATTATACACTAAGTGCTTGATTTTCATGTGTTCCTGTGTTTCTTCTCTTGATTTACCATAGCATTAAGAAGTGTCTTTTGGGAATGAAAGCTTAATTCTTCAGCAAAACTTCAAATCAACTACACTAAAGAAAGGCTGCCAACTTGATTTTAAAGTTAAATAAGATCGAACAAGAATTGTTCAGAGCCCAGCAGGAAAACAAAGCATGATTTCTATTGTCAAACTCTAATTTCACTGGATTGCCAGCTTGTAAAGAAGACTAATATGCTAAAGATAAAAACACACACACACACATACATCAACTAGTTTAAGTTTTCTAATGTTTTACAAAAAAACCCAAACCAGTATTAATCTCTCTGTGGACTGACCAAGCAGAAAATAATTTTCCAGACTCTCAGAGTGGTTTATGCAAATTACAGTGGTTTCAGAGGGAAGCAATGCCTTCTATTCCCCATTATTGTTCAGTTATTACAGTCATTATTTGAGGTAAATTTCATTATATGAAAGACTGCAGTGCTTTGTAAGGCTAGTGTCAAAGAAAAAAACCCACATATATTTAATCAAGAAAATTGTAATAACAACCTTTTGTTTTTCTTTGGCATCTGGCGTCTAGGATCTCCAAGTCCTTTATAAACACTAATGAAATAAACTTCACAATAGTCCCATGAGGAAGAGCAAACAAATATTATTCCAAATAACAGATGAAAAAATTGAGTCACCAAGAGTTAAAATGACTTATAAACAAATCAGAGGAGGGCTGGCAATAAAGCTTAGATTCCTTTACTCTAAAATGCTCTGAGAAGCTAGAAAACTGATAAGCAACTTGGGGGAACAGTTGCATCTGTAACCAAGCTGAACAGCAGCTTTCTCAGTGAATGCCACGTTCTACAGCCACCAGGTAATCAGCCTGAGATTAAGCATCTGGACTAGGTTAAGCTGTAGAGGAGCAATAGTGCAGCAGGACCTTGAATAAACACCAGGTTTTGACTCATCAGGTAGCTAGAAAATGCAGTCTGAATTCAACTCGATAAAGTTTTAGCCAAACTACGACTGCAAAAGCCAGAACATCAGCCTCATGAAAAAGCAGGCACTGGATGCTGTTAGAATATAATCTAACATTTAATACCTGAAATATCCTGAGGTATGGAGATTAGAAAGTCATCCCTAAAGGTTTTAAACATATATTTCACTGAGCCTACATATTTTCATCCAGCATGCACTTCAATATGTATGCATTGGGAGACGCATCATCAAAACCATATTACTTTAAAAAAAAAAAAAAGTAGAGAAAATTCCTTAGATATTCCAAGCATCGGAAAAGATTACTTTCTTAAGACTAACAGCTTTTTTTACCAGAAAATGGACCAAATTTTTACCCACGTCAAAGAAGTAAATCCAGAATAGCTCTGCTATAGCTCATATGGTTATTACAGCCATTAGTATATGAGATCTGTTATCAACTATGTCAAAGGTATTCATCTTGGGTTAAGACAATAAAATAACTTGCAATTCATAAGCCACATTTCTTTATTTTTTCTTCTGAAAAAAAAAATATTGGTACATGAGTTCACTAAATTTTTCATATTTTAAGAAATCCTAAATTGGAAAAGAGGGGAGGAAACCCTATTTGTCATTTTGGATTCCATCCCCCATTGTTTTTTATAAGAACTTCAGAGTTTTGCTTCAAAAATCTAAAGCAAGAAATAAAATAGAAAATGGACTGCAGAGGTGATAGTCCAACACAGACCTTATCTTCCCTTGCACAGCTGTTATTTACGTCTACAGAATCATCTCCTCATTGAGAGGAAAAAACAGCTAGGTCCTAATAAAAGCCTAGGTTCTGTCAGAAGAACAGCCATTCACTTAAACAATAAAGAGGAGAGACTAGCAGCTAGAACTACCTGTCCCCCCCATTTTCAACTATTTTGAAGAACTGCAAGGTGCTATTCCATTACCCTAATGAAAGCAAGCACAAATGATGGTATTTGGGAACATCTACTATCCCTGAAATTTAACATATAGTTAGGTTGGCTGGAACAATTGAGGTTTAGAAACATATCCCAGCTTATCAAGGTTTTTGTATTTTTCATTTTCATTCCATTTGGGTCTTCTGCTGCTTCCCACCTACTTTATTCCTGAGTATCTCTTAAATGAATACCATACTGTATCAGCTGCAGAGTTTTGCAATGTGAACAGCTATAACCAGGCTGACCAGAAGACTCTCACCTTTGCTAAGGAGCTAACCAGTAGATTCTACAAAAGTAAAAGGCTTCAGCAATCATCCAATTCACAGCCTCAAGGCAATAACTTCTTTGAACTGTCATGAAAAAAGTAAAAAAATGCACAATAATGGATTGGAATCACCTGCAATTTATGAACCGGATACAATCACACCTCTATGAATGAAATGACTGCATTGTTCCGCTAGAGAGCGACTACTACTGAAATAAAAATCTTATCTTCTTTTTTCCAAAAAGGCATCAAACTAACTTGGATATTTCAAGGAAAGTAAGGCAAGGATATCTGATCCTTTCCCTGTGCTGGCTCTGCATAGTTTTAGAATCAAATATCAGTAAGTGATGCATTCAAGCAGCAACTATACTTTCTCCTTTTTGCATTTCACTCCTGCTCATTTATCCAAATTACTGTAATGAGGCTTCTTGAGGCAATCATTCATTAAGCCTTGCTGGAAAATCAATTTTATTTCTCAAAATGCAGTCTTTTTCCCAGCAGTTTAAGCCAAACCAGAAATCCCTGCATTGAATCACAGAGGCAGGTCAAGTGAGTATTAGCATGATTTCAATTACCCAGTTATTAGTTCTATTAAACAATAAAAAATGTGGTGGAATATAGGCTTCCTGGTTTGTGCTCCATTTTTGAGTGCTTTATTGTGTTTCTTTTAAATATAATATAGGCAATGAAAGGAAAACCAAGATTTTAAATGGAAAGAGCAATAAGCTAATCCTCTCTACAAACTCACTAAAACCTTACATAATTTTATTTTTCTGGGGAAAAAAAAAAAGTACTTCCCTAGCGTTTATGGCATAGGTTCAAGTCAGGTTTCCACACTATGAATTTGCTCTCCCAAAAGTCATTCTCAATAAAAACAGGGCTATTCAGAAATTTTTATTTATAGATCTCTCATAGGTTCATGGAAAACATCACTACATATACCTGTTCTCGAGATTTTATAACCTATGTCTCACAAATCAGATTGAACACAAATACATTACTCTTACATCTTATACACTGTTACCACTGGACAATGCCTGATCTTTTTTCCCTATAGAGCTAGCACAGTAACTACACCTGTCACAACTAACTTTTTTCAAAGGGGTCTTTAATACTTCAGACCTAACTAACCTCCCATAAAAGCAATCCTATTCTATTACAAGCAACAAGTATTTCTATAACACCTCTCATCCATAAAGGTTTTACATGTCAGTCTGTACTAAAGACCTTGATTCTAGGGATTGTCTTGGCCTGGCTAGTTCAGCAACACAAAAGCTGTCACTCGCGATGGGGCAGGCTGGTAAAGGCAATGCAGACATGATCTCTGTGGGTTGACCACTCATGTAATTAGGCAATATTGCAGGTGTATAGGCAAGTCTTAAATGTTTAGCAACTTGTCAAGGGACCAAGTACAGAACCAGAGCTGGTTACTGCCTCCCAAGGATGATCTGAAAGCACACTGTGATTCAGTACATCAGTCTCCTCTCCAACCTGTTCCAGGAGCTACGTAACAGCACGCGGTCTCTTACAAAAAACTGTAACATCCCAAACTGCCCTCTAGAGAGCAGTACTGTAGAAGTCACTCCGTGTAATACAGGTACCTACATATTTGTGTAAAGCTTGCTCAAGGAAGCTGGTTTAATTATACAAAAAATGAGTGACCTACATCCTATATTGTTATCAACTAAAGTAAACTCAATCTGAAGAGCAGAGATTAGTACTTTTGGAGGGAAAGTATCTGATTTCCAGTCCTTGCTGTCTAACTACCCTTTACGACATTAATGAGTCAAGGAGACT